GTCCCCTGGTTGTTGGGGTCCCCCTGGACTCCTGGGTCCTCTTGGGTGGGAGATTTGGGGTTCCCTCAGATGTTGGGGTCCCCTCTGGTGGGAGATTTGGGGATCCTCAGGTGCCTGGGTGGGAGGTTTGGGGGTCCCCAGACACCTGGGCCCTCTTGGGTGGGGGGTTTGGGGTCCTCCAGACTCCTGGGTCTTCTGGGATGGGGGTTCCTTGATGTTGGGGTCCCCTTGGGTGGGAAATTGGGGTCCCCCTGGACACCTGGGTGCCCCTGGGTGTGAGGTTTGGGGGTCCTCAGATGTTGGGGTCCCCTTGGGTGGGAGATTTGGGGGTCCCCAGATCCCTGGGTGGGAGATTTGGGGTCCTCCAGACTCCTGGGTCCCCTTGGAGGAGGTTCCTGGACGTTGGGGTCCCCTTGGGTGGGAATTTTGGGGGTCCCCAGACACCTGGGTCTCCTGGGATGGGGGTTCCTGGATGTTGGGGCCCCCTCTGGTGGGAGATTTGGGGGTCCCGGGTGCCTGGGTGGGAGATTTGGGGGGTCCCCAGATGTTGGGGTCCCCTTGGGATGGGGGTTCCTGGATGTTGGGGTCCCCTTGGGTGGGAGTTTTGGGGTCCCCCAGACTCCTAGACCCCCTTGGGTGGGAGATTTGGAGTTTTGGGGTCCCCTCTGGTGCTCCCTGCCGTGGGGTGACCCCCCCGTTGCGCTGTCCCCCCCCCAGGCCAGCAGGTGGCCATCAAGAAGATCCCCAACGCCTTCGACGTGGTGACCAACGCCAAGAGGACGCTGCGGGAGCTGAAGATCCTCAAGCACTTCAAGCACGACAACATCATCGGCATCAAGGACATCCTCAAACCCACCGTGCCCTACGGCGAGTTCCGCTCCGTGTGCGTGCCCCGGGGGGCGGCCGTGGGGGGCGGGCCCCACAGGAACATCTCCAGCCCCTGCTATATGCTGTTATGGAGCAGGAGCACACGTGGGATGGAGCCCACCTGGGCATCGGGGGCCATCGGGGGGTGGTGGGCTCCATAAGAACATCTCCAGCCCCTGCTATATGCTGTTATGGAGCAGGAGCACACGTGGGATGGAGCCCACCTGGGCATCGGGGGCCATCGGGGGGTGGTGGGCTCCATAAGAACATCTCCAGCCCCTGCTATATGCTGTTATGGAGCAGGAGCACACGTGGGATGGAGCCCACCTGGGCATCGGGGGCCATCGGGGGGTGGTGGGCTCCATAGGAACATCTCCAGACCCTCCTGAGTCCTCTCATGGGGCAGGAGGAGACGTGGGATGGAGCCCACCTGGGCATCGAGGGCCATTGGGTGGTGGTGGGCTCCATAAGAACATCTCCAGCCCCTGCTATATGCTGTTATGGAGCAGGAGGACACGTGGGATGGAGCCCACCTGGGCATTGGGGTCCATCAGGGGTTGGTGGGCTCCATAGGAACATCTCCAGCACCTCCTGGGGGCTCCTGTGGGGCAGGAGGAGACGTGGGATGGAGCCCACCTGGTCCCCTGGGTCCATCGGGTGGTGGTGGGCCCCACAGGAACATCTCCATCCCTTTCTATATGCCCTTGTGGGGCAGGAGGAGACGTGGGATGCAGCCCACCTGGGCATTGGGGGCCATCAGGTGGTGATGGGCTCCATAGGAACATCTCCATCCTCTCCTGGGGGCTCCTGTGGGGCAGGAGGAGATGTGGGATGGAGCCCACCTGGTCTCCTGGGTCCATCAGGGGTTGGTGGGCCCCATAGGAACATCTCCATCCTCTCCTGTGGGGCAGGAGGACACATGGGATGGAGCCCACCTGGTCTCCTGGGTCCATCGGTTGATGATGACCCCCACAGGAACATCTCCATCCCCTCCTGGGGACTCCTGTGGGGCAGGAGGAGACGTGGGATGGAGCCCACCTGGTCTCCTGGGTCCATGGGGTGGTGGTGGCCCCACAGGAACATCTCCATCCCCTCCTAAGGGTAGGAGAACCCACTAGGGGGGACGCTCTAGACCTTTTTTTCCCCCCCCAACCTCTCTCCTGCCCCACTTCACCCCACAGCTACGTGGTGCTGGACCTGATGGAGAGCGACCTCCACCAGATCATCCACTCGGCGCAGCCCCTGACGCTGGAGCACGTCCGCTACTTCCTCTACCAGCTCCTGCGGGGCCTCAAGTACATCCACTCGGCCAACGTCCTCCACCGCGACCTCAAGCCCAGCAACCTCTTGGTCAACGAGAACTGCGAGCTGAAGATCGGCGATTTCGGCATGGCCCGGGGCTTGGGGGCCGACCCCCGGCAGGCCAAGGCCTTCCTCACCGAGTACGTGGCCACCCGCTGGTACCGCGCCCCCGAGCTCCTCCTCTCCCTCCACCGTTACACCCGCGCCATCGACATGTGGTCGGTTGGTTGCATCTTCGCCGAGATGTTGGGTCGACGTCAACTCTTCCCCGGTCGTAACTACGTCCACCAGCTCCAGCTCATCATGGCCGTCTTGGGGACGCCCCCCGCCACCGTCATGGCGGCCATCGGGGCCGAGAGGGTCAGGGCCTACGTCCAGAGCTTGCCCCCGCGCCCGCCCGTCCCTTGGGAGAACCTCTTCGGCGACGCCGAACCGGACGCTTTGGCTCTTTTGGGGAGGATGTTGCGTTTCGACCCCCGGGAGCGGGTGGGCGTGGCCGAGGCTTTGCGTCACCCGTTTTTGGCCAAATACCACGATCCCGAGGACGAGCCCGAGTGCGTCCCCGCCTTCGACTTCGCCTTCGACCGCCGCATCCTCACCAAGGAGGAGATCAAGGCGGCCATCGTGGCCGAGATCGCCGACTTCCACGCGCGACGCGACGGCATCCGACGGCAAATCGCCTTCGCCCCGGCTGGCGACGGTGGAAGTGGAGGTGGCCACGCGGCCAACGGGGCCGTGGCCAACCTTAACGTCCCCACGGGGGACATCAACGCGGTCAACGCGGCCAACGTTGGCGTCAACGCAGTCAACGCGGCCAACATTGGCGTCAACGCAGCCAACGTGGGCATCAACACAGTCAACGTTGGCGTCAACGCGGTCAACGCAGCCAACATGGGCATCAACGCGGCCAACGTTGGTGTCAACGCGGTCAACATGGGCATCAACACGGTCAACGTGGGTGTCAACGCGGCCAACGTTTGACCAGCGTCAACGTGGCCACCATCGGCGCCGCCGCGGCCAATGGCAACGTCAACGCCGCCAACGCCGCGGTGGCCAACGTTGGCCCCTCCTGGCCCTGCGCCGACGTGGACATGCCGAGCCCCGGCCCCGCCCCTGCCCCCGACTGTCCAATGGACTCTCCCCGGGTGAAGGCGGAGCCGGGGGCGCCCCCCGCCCCCAAGAGGGACGGGGCCATCTCCGATGACACCAAGGCCGCGCTCAAGGCCGCGCTCCTCAAGTCGGCCATGAGGAACAAGAGCAAAGGTGAGGGGGCGCCCGGGTCTCCTGGAAGGGCTGTGGGTGGGGTTGGTGGCTCCATCCTTGGTCTGATGGGTCCCAAGGGTTGGTGGTGGTTGGGTTGGGTCGGGTCGGTTGGAATTGGGGTTGGGTCAGTTGGTTGTGGTTGGGTTGTGGTTGGAATGGTGGCTTCATCTCTGGTCTCTTCCGTCCCTGAGGTTGGTTGTGGTTGGGTTGGGTGGGTTTGGTTGGGTTGTGGTTGAGTTTGGTTGGTTTTGGTTGGGTTGGTTGAGGTTTTGGTTGGGTTGGTTGAAGTTTTGGTTGGGTTTGGTTGAGGTTGGGTGAGGTCAGTTGGGTTGTGGTTGGGTTTGGTTGGGTTGTGGTTGGGTTTGGTTGGGTTGTGGTTGGGTTTGGTTGGTCGTGCTTGGGTTTGGTTGAGGTTGGGTGAGGTTGGTTGGGTTGTGGTTGGGTCTGTTGGGTTTTGGTTGGGCTTGATTGAGGTTTTGGTTGGGTTGGGTTGAGGTTGGTTGAGGTGA